ATATTTGAGTCTGAAGTTCTAGGGAGCTAGGTGAGTTACAGGTATAAACTTGGGAATCATTGGCATATATATGGTGTTCTCTGGGAGGAAGTATAGCTAGAAAAGAGGTTTGATGAATTTTGAGGATCTCAAATGTTTCAAATTTGGAGAATACAGAAAAAGTGGCAAAGAGTATAGAGAAGTAGAAGCCAATGAGGTAGGAGGCCTTGACTTGGAATCCAAATCAGAAAATTGGCTTAAGACAAGATCTTTAAGAACTACAATTTGATATAGAGTAGGGTATGTTTAGAAAAGTAGTGGGAAATTGCACTGCATACATAGAGCTTTGAAATCCAGGGTGGAAAGTTTACTCTTAAATCTGTATGCAGTGAAGTCCCTCTAATACTTTCTAAGTCAGCAAATGATGAAAGCTGGACATTAGGAAGCTTAATCAGGCATCATTATATCAAAAAGTGTACTCAATTGGGGATACTATTTAGTTGGTCATTTATAGAAATGTAGGGCAAAACAATAATGGCATGACCTGGGAAATAGCGAAGATAGTATCTATATGATTTTACATTAAGATTGAAGTAGAATGAAGTAAGAGAGAGGGAAACTCAAGAACAATTCTAGGGTTTAAATCAGGGTAAGTGATATCCATAGAAATAGGAAGCCAGGAAGGGGAGCTGGTTTTGGGGGAAATGATTTGAGTTTTGCATGTGCTGTGTTTGGGATTTTGATAAAACACCTGGGTGTCTAGTAAACAGCTGAAAATTCAAGACAGTTTCTGGGACTGGTTACAGAATTATGACTTCTCTGTCAGAATAAACTAGATAAAGTCACAATTAATAATAACAGGTGTGGCCCTAGAAGAAATCTAAATATAGAGTCTTTAGAAACTTCCATTTTTAAGGGGTTGGAAGAAGAGCCAGTGAAAGAAACATAAGAAACAACTATAGTGAGGAAGACCAAATTTCCTTTATCAGTAAACTATCGAGGAAGATAGTGTTTTTTTCATGAAGAAAATTAGTCATGAGTTTTGTGTCAAATGACAGAAAAGGAGAGGAGTGAAAATGAGAAGAAGTCATTGGATTTATTTATTCATTAGCAAGACAATGTTGCTTCTTAGAGTTTAATTTCTGCAGTATGGTCAGGAAAGGAGAGCTAGATTATAGTAGGTTAAGGTCCGAGTGTACTCAGAAAGTGAAAGTAAGAGATACAACCAGTATTTGAAGAACTTGGGGAGGAAAGGAAAGAGAGACAATGTACTTTTGGGTGCACCCAGGTTGGGAAAAGTGTATTTCAGAATTGTTGTACCCCTGAGCATATCAATAGATAGAGAAGGAGAGAGAAAAATAGAGGAGCTAGTTGGATGGATTAGTGGAGCATGGAATGGGAATGGAAACAAGCACAGGGGAAAGGGAAGAGACTTATTTCTTGGAAAAGGAATGACAGGAGGAGAAAGACTGACATCCAAAGAAGTTGTGTGGTGGAGTAGAGAGCAGCTGAGGTTTCAAAGTGCCAGGCCAACAAAGCCAGGAGGAGGTTCTCTGCTGAGTGACCAAGGCTTAGAGCAGGTTTAGAAGAGCTTCGATAGGGGTTGCACACCATCATAAGCCTCTATTACCCATCTCAGAGAAGAGGAGAAAAGAGTGTTCTTTCTTCCTCACAAAACTTTAGCTTTATGAGAATTAATCAACCATACAGTAATTGTTTGGAGTGCTGGTAATAATTTTTACAGATAATGGAATTACTTGAAGACTTTTCCAGTGTCTGTTAACCCTACTTGATTATTAATGACCTTAAAATGATCCCCTAAACGTAGATGAGGCTTAGCAGATCACTTTTGATTATGATATGACTTTAATTAAAAATAATAATTAACATAGGAACAGTGTTCCACATTGCTCTTTACATTTGTAATTAATAGTTCTGTAGTTGTCATTTGCTGAACACTTATGAAGCATAGATGTTTTGCTGGGTGCTTGAATATATTATCTCTAAATTTTAGCAATAACTCTTAAAAAAATGGACTGATGCTCTTCAGAGAAGGGTGTATACTCCAGGAGTATGGAAAGAAAAAATTAGATGTTCCAATTATTTCTTTTTATGTTGAAAGTAGGTTTTGTTATAATGTAAATAACATTGATACAAAAAATATAATTCATAAAAATATGCATGTTGGGATGCACGTACAAACAGTTTTTATAGACAGAAGCACAAAGTTCAGAGACTGCTAAAGTAAATGATGATTCTGAAAACAATCATTCAATAATTTGCCGGGTGCAGTGGCTCATGTCTGTAATCCTAGCACTTTGGGAGGCCAAGGCAGGTGAATCACTTGAGGCCACGAATTTGTGATGTGCCTGGCCAACATGGTGAAACCCCATCTCTACTAAGAAAACAAAAATTACCCAGACATGGTGGCATGTGCCTGTGGTCCAAGCTACTCGGGAGGCTGAGGCAGGAGAATCACTTGAACGCAGGGTGTGGTGGTTGCAGTGAGCCGAGATGGCACCACTGCACTCGAGCCTAGGCAATGGATTGAGACTGTCTCAAAAAAATAATTAAAAATAAAGAGTTGTTACTCTGTTAGGTGCTTAACATTAATTATCTCATTCACTTTTCACAACTACTCTATAAGAACTAATTAAAAATAATTAAAGACTTGTTACTCTGTTAGGTGCTTAACGTTAATTATCTCATTCACTCCTCACAACTACTCTATAAAGTAATAACTTTATTATTATCTCCATTTTACCAATGAAGAAGCTGAAGCTGTGAGGGATTGACTTTCCCAAGCTCACACAGCTATAGTAAATGATAAAATTGGAGTTTAAACTGAGGCAGTCTGATCCCATAACTCATTTTCTTTTTCCTTTTTTTTTTGAGACAGAGTCTTGCTCTGTTGCCCAGAATGGAATGCAACCCCCGCCTCCTGGGTTCAATCAGTTCTCCTCCCTCAGCCTCCCAAGTAGCTGGGATTACAGAGGCATACCACCATGCCCAGCTAATTTTTGTAGTTTTAGTAGTGACGGGGTTCTCCATGTTGCCCAGGCTGTTCTCGAATTCCTGACCTCACGTTATCCATCCATCTTGGTCTCCCAAAGTGCTACAGGCATGAGCCACTGCACCTGGCTCCATAACTTATATTTTTAACCACTACTTTATTTAGTACCTTTACAATGAAATCAAACAGCCCTTAAAACTGGCTGCAACCAGAATTACCTGGGGATATTACAGGTCAGGTGATACTTGGGAATCTCCCTTGAAAAAAGAGCGAAAGAGACAGAGAAACCTAATCTGCTCAGGTGACAAATTTGCCTCAGTCAGTGCTTAAAACACTGTGAGTTAGAAATTGTAAACTCTATTTTGGATGAGAAAACTAAGGACAGACCCAGGACACAAACTCTGGTCCTCTGAATCTAAATCCTGTATTTCCTTGTTACCGTGTTTTGTCATTCCGCTTCTCAGGCAGATCAGGTGACTAACTGAACTGAAGTTTTATTTAGCAGTCTGCCACTGTGCTTGACACTGAATTTCTTTAATTGGTGTATGTCTATGTGTGTGTGTATATATATTCATTTATATAAATATTTTGGATACATAAAATATTATTTAAATCAATAGGTCAATTATTTTAAAAAGGAAACATCCATCAATTAACCATATAAGAAGAAATGTTAATACTTACATTATCAGGACCTATTAAACAGCCCACATTTTTCAAGGGACAGAATGTATCAAATTGTCCATAAAAATGTCCACTGCAGGGATTCCATATTAAATAATGACCTTGCTCCCAAGTTAGCACATAGGCAGTTGGACCCTGAAAGAAAATGGCCATTAAAACCAGTTTTCAACTATTTATGCAATGAAGAGCAATACTAGCTTGCACAGACAATTCATTATTTTGCTTGAACCCCTGATTAGTGAAATTCCATGGTTAATGGTGAAAACTACTTTGAAGTTCTAGGTTATGCTGAATTTAAAAAGTAAAGATGAATGCTTAGTTTTGCAAAATTCTTGCATCTGGTACTAGTGCAATGACTAAATAAGGATAGTCATCATCTTACCCAACCAATATATCTTAGGATTGGCTGAAGAACTATGAGTGAAAATAAGCAGTCACTGGCGTTTTCTTCTGAGTCAGTAAGACTGCCATTTAAGTCTATAGAAGGCTGATTATGTCTGAATAGAGATATTTCTGTTTCTAATATAGTAACTTACATTTGACAAACATTTGTAACTGTGTAAATGCATAGTAGATTTGAAAGGATATGTACCAAACAGTTAAGAATGACTGTACTTGGGGAGGGGAGTAGAATTGGGAGTTGGAGAAGTAGAAGTTCCTTGTCAAGGTATTCTGGGTCTTCTGAAAAGGGACTCTACTTTTTACACAGAATACTTACGTATTGTTAGATTCTATTTTTACAATGAGAATTCATTCATTTATTTTCCCTGTATAATTTTACTTGATGTTCACAACAGTTTTCTGGGGAAGGCAGGGCAGAAATTATCCCAGTTTCCTATAAAACCCAGAGTTGTGCAGTGACCTACTTAGTGTCACACAGCTAATGATAAGCAGGCACGGAACCTTGAACTTCAGCCTCATGACTTCCTAGCCCAGTGTTCTTTTCCTGGGACCAAGCTATCTGGTAGATAATGATGGAGACTTAATTTGAACATGAATATGATACTACTTTATTACCTGCCTTGCAGCAACTCGAATTTCCAAGCATTCCTAGAGCCTTGTGGCCTCTTTTTAAAACCCTCTTTGGCCGGGTGTGGTGGCTCACACCTATAATCCCAGCACTTTGGGAGGCTGAGGCGGGCGGATCACCTGAGGTCAGGAGTTCGAGACCAGCCTGACCAACAAGAAGAAACTACATCTCTACTAAAAATACAAAAATTAGCTGGGCGTGGTGGTGCATGCCTGTAATTTCAGCTACTCGGGAGGCTGAGACTGGAGAATTGCTTGAACCCGGGAGGCAGAGGTTGCAGTGAGCTGAGATTGCACCATTGCACTCCAGCCTGGGCATCAAGAGTGAAACTCTGTCATGAAAAAAGAAAGAACAAAAACCAAAAACCCTCTTTGGATAAACTGCTGTAATCCATGTGAATTTTCTAAACTTACCTATTGTATCAGAAATTTAGGGATATTTATAGTGGGCTAGGGAAAACTTCTAATAGTCTCCAATCTAATAAAAATAAAAATGTTAATATAAAAATAAAGCTGCTAACATTCTTTTCATTCCTCCTTATCTGCTTATTCCCCTTTGCCTGCCAGGTCAGCGGCAGATACTTGTAGAAGCAGTACGCATGAAAGGAGAGATCTCTAACCTTAGCACACTCCTTTGGATCCTCTTCATTGCAAAGCATGAAGATTCCCACATCACTAGGGGAATCTGAATGCTTGGGAACATAGCTGGAAAGAGGCCAATACTAAAAGGACAGAGCTAGGTGGGGACTTTGGATGGTAAAGGGTTTGGGTTTGCCAAAAAATAATCTCAAATGTTGCATAGGGCCCTGAGGACCACTGAAAACCATTTCATGTCTTATCACTGGTAGTTCTCTCTGCTGTTATGGCATCTCTGGGCCACTTTCCTAGGAACCCAAAGAATCGTTATGAAAATATTTCCTGTCTGTGATCTAGAACATACAACTGGATTAGTCAACTATGCTCCTCTGTTAAAGCCAGCCTACGTGGTCTTACCTCAGGAATAGCATTGCCCATCACCAGCCAGGCCTTCTTACCCAGAGACAGAAAGTAATTACACAGTAGTACTGCATGTTCTTCTTCATCCCCTGCCAGGAGATCAAGAAATTGCTGACCAAAAGAAAAAAAGTATGTCATATTAACTGAATGCTTTACTCTGGATTGGCTTGGCAGGTTTCTAATATGTCATATGCCTTGAAGTGTAAGACCTATAATCTTTCCCCAAATTTTGATAGTATGTTGATAATTCATTTTTTAAAATAAACCACTTTTAGTGGACATGGTGTTTTCTCTGACATTGATGATATGGATTTCTAGAATCAATAGTCACTATGATTGTGGTAGGGTTGGGGAGACATTTCAAAGTTTCATTTTTATTTTTAATGTATATATGATAGTTCATTATATGCTAAACAATCTTTAAAGCACATTACTTCATTAAACTGATTTAATTCTAGAACAACCCTTTCAGGAAGGTACACTCCTATTTGTTCATTTTATAGACGAGGAAGTGGAGGTACAGATTAATAAGTAACACTTAGGAAGTAGTAAAGCCAGTCTAGCTCTAGAGCAAAGGTCCTCAATTCCCAGGCCATGGACTAGTACCAGTCTGTGGCCTGTTAGGAACTGGGCCGCACAGCAGAATGTGAGCGGCACACAAACAAGCATTACCACTTGCCTCTTGTCAGATCAGTAGTGGCATTAGATTCTCATAGGAGTACAATATAAATTATATGAGGGTAGAGACTATGCTATGTTTATTTCACTTATAGCCAGAATTTAGTATAGCATCTGGTATGTGGTAAATGACCAAAAAGTATATACTGAATAAATAATGATATGCCATGCCTTACAAAGCCCATAAATTAAGGAATATATCATTTCTAATTATAATATAGAATGTAATTTTGGTATTTTTCATGAACAAAACCAAGAAGTTTTATGGTAATACTGGGAGGGTAAATCAGCATTAAGACATCTGAAGTATTACTTTTAAACTTTTTGTGTGAGCAATTAATTTTTTGTTAACTTATGAACTTTGGGAAAACTGAACCTGGAAGAAAAAATGCTTCAGAATTTAGCTCATATTACTAAACAGATAGCCAATTAGGTTTTTATGACTAATGAATGTTGCAATTTAAATTTATGCAAGCAGTTAGCTAATATTTCATTAAGTCAGCTCACGTTAGTAAATTTGTGAAGAAGAACTACTTACATCAGATGTGCTCCATAGGTCACAGATTCCAGCAAATGAGACAGTGTCAGGCAAGAAGGGAATCAAGGACACATATCGAGCCACCAGTTCCTGTATAATGAAAATGAGCTTTACGCCGGGCGCGGTGGCTCACGCCTATAATCCCAGCACTTTGGGAGGCCGAGGCGGGTGGATCACGAGGTCAAGAGATCGAGACCATCCTGGTCAAAATGGTGAAACCCCGTCTCTACTAAAAATACAAAAAAAATTAGCTGGGCATGGTGGCGCGTGCCTGTAATCCCAGCTACTCAGGAGCCTGAGGCAGGAGAATTGCCTGAACCCAGGAGGCGGAGGTTGCGGTGAGCCGAGATTGCGCCATTGCACTCCAGCGTGGGTAACAAGAGCGAAGCTCCAACTCAAAAAAAAAAAAAGAAAATGAGCTTTACAAAAAATAATTTCTAATAAAACAAAACGCTGCATCCCCTACCTGATTTCTTAAAATAAATCTCAAATGTTACAACCATTTACATGTACAAAATGAAACTAATACTAAATGCTTACTAAATATTATATAATATCATTTTCATCTTCACCAAACATCCTATATGGAAGGTTTTTGTTATTACCCATCCTTTACAGATGAAGAAACTGTGTCCCTTTGACAAGTCTTTTTTTCCCTTTCATTTCACACTTCTTTACTTTCTGGTATAACAAGACTTTCCAGAATCATCTTGAATTTTCACTTAGCCCAGTCTTGAAAATAGTCATTTCTCTAAGGAGCCCTGGTTGAGAGGGTAATAGTATTTGGGAATCAAGGTCTGGGCATCATTGTGGCTATAACTTCTATTTCTGTAATTTCTAAGGAAGTTAATCTTTTAATAAAATTTTGTTTTATGTCTATTGACACAATTGTTCATATTTATGGGGTATGGTGTGATGTTTCAATGCATGGTATACATTGTGTAATGCTGAAATCAGGGTAATTGGCATATCCATCACTTTCAACATGTATTATTTCTTTGGGGTGATAATACTCAAAATCCTCTCTTCTAGTTAGCTGGAAATATACTATACATTATTATTAACTATATGCATCATACTGTGTAATAGGATACCAGAACTCATTCTTCCTAACTGTAACTCTGTACCTGTTGAACATCCTCTCTCCATCCCCCCTCCTGCCTTCCCTCCTCAGGAGGGAAGAGTAGAATAATGAATAACACTAATAATGAATAACACTATTATAATAGTGAATAGTGAGTAACACTATTCTCTCTATTTTGAGATAAACTAGCCAGGCCTTTCTGTGCCTGGCTTATTTCACTTAACATGCCCTCCAGGTTCACCCATGTTGTCACAAATGACAGAATTTCATTCTGTTTTATGGTTGACTGGCATTCATTGTGTATATATACCACATTTTCTTTATTCATTCATCCACAGATGGATACTTTGCTTGATTCCCTATCCTGGCTATTGTGACTAGCACTGCAATACACGTATGAGTGCAGATACTTCTTCGATATACTGATTTCATTTCCTTTGGATACATACTTAGTAATGGGATTTTGCCAGATCACATTGTAGTTCTAATTTTAATTTGTGAGGACCTCTATACTGTTTTCCAATAATGGCTGTATTGATTTAAATTCCCACCATTGTGTATCAGAGTTCCTCTTTCTTCAGACTCTTGCCAGCATTTGTCATTGTTTGTCTTTCTGAAAAGAGTCATTTTAACTGGAGTGAGGTGGTATCTCGTGGTTTTGATTTGCATTTCTCTGATGATTAGTGATGTTGAAATTTTTTTCATGTTTGTTGGACATTTGTCTTTTTTTGAGAAAATTCAGCTCTTTTTCTGACTTTTAAATCAAACTATTTGGGGTTTTCTGCTATTGAGTTGTTTGAGTTCCTTACATAGTCTAGAGTTTAACATCTTGTTAGACACATAGTTTGCAATTACTTTCTCCTATTCTGTAGGTTGTCTATTGACTCTATTGATTGGTTCCTTTGCTATGCAGAAGCTTTTTAGATTGATGTAATCCCATTTGTCTATTTTTGCTTTTGTTGCCTGTGCTTTCGAGGTCTTATAAAAAAAATCCTCCCAGTTAAATTTCATAAAGTATTTCCCCTATACTTTCTTTCAGTGGTTTCATAGTTTCAGTTCTTACATGTAATTCATTAATCCTTTTAGAGTTGATCTTTGTATATGGTGAGAGATGAGAACTCTAGTTTTTGTTCTTTTCCCTGTGGATATCATTTTTCCAACACCATTTATTGACCAGACTGTCCTTTTTCCCAGTGTGTGTTCTTGGTGCCTTAGTCAAAAGTCATTTGGCTGTAAATGCATGGATTTATTTCTGGATTTGCTATCATGTTCCATGGGTCTATATGTGTTTTTAGACTAGTGCCATGCTGTTTTAGTTACTACAGTAGTATACTTTGAAGTCAGGTAATATGATGCTTTCAGTTCTTTGTTCTTTTTCCTCTAGGTTACATTGGCTATTTGGGATCTTTTGTATTTCCATATGAATTTTAAGATGTTTTTCTATTTCTGCAAAGAATGCTCTGATATTTTGATAGACAGTGTATTGAATCTGTAGATCGCTTTGAGTAATATGGATATTTTAACAATATTAATTCTTCCAATCTGAACACAGGATATCTTTCCATTTATTTGTGCCTTCCTCAATTTCTTTCATCAATGTTTGTAATTTTGATTGCAGAGATCTTTCACCTTGTTGATGAAATTTATCCTTAGGTATCTTATAACTTTTTGTAGCTGTTGTATTTGGGATTACTTCTTGATTTTTTTTTCCAGCTAGTTCATTATTGGTGTATAGAGACACTACTAAATTGTGTATGTTGATTTTGCTTCCTGCAGCTTTAATAAATTAATTTATTAGTTCTAACAGTTTCTTGATGGGGTCCTTAGGGTTTTCTAAATTTATGATCATGTTATCTGCAGATGGGAGCAACTTGACTTCCTCCTTTCCAATCTGGATGCCCTTTATTTATTTCTCTTGGCTAATTGCTCTAGCTACAACTTTCAGTACTGTGTTGAATAGAGTTGGAGAAAGTGGGCATCTTTGTCTTGTTCCAGGTCTTAGAGGAAAACTTCAACTTTTTGCTGTTCAGTATGATGTTAACTGTGCGTTTTTCATTTATAACCTCTGTTGTGTTGAAATATGTTCCTTCTATACTCAATTTGTTGAGTTTTTATCATGAGGGATGTTGAATTCCATTGAATTCTTTTTAAGCATCTATTGAAATGAACAAGTGGTTTTTGTCCTTGATTCTGTAAAGGTGATATATCGCATTTACTTATTTGCCTGTTTTGAACCATCCTTGCATCCCTGGGATGGGTCTCACTTGACCATATTGCATGATCATTTTAATATATTATTGAATTTGGTTTGGCAATATTTTGTTGAGGAGTTTTAGAGCTATGTTTATCCTAGAATATAGGCCTGTAGTTTTATTGTTGTTACTCCTCTAGTTTTGGTATCAGGATAATGCTGGCCTATAAAAAATGACTTTAACAGACTTCCCTTTTCTTTTTTTTTTTTTTTTTTTTGGAATAGCTTGAGCAGAATTGATGTTAGTCTTTATTTAAGTATTTGGTGGAATTTAGCAGTGAAACCATCAGGTCCTAGGCTTTTCTTTGATAGGAGGCTTTTCATTACTGCTTCAGTCTCATTACTTGTTATTGGTCTGCTCAGGTGTATTTCTTCATGATTCAGCCTTGGTAAGTTGTATATGTTCATGCATTTATTTGTTTCTTCCAAGTTTTATAATTTGGTGGATAGTTGTTCATAATAGTTTCTTATAATTCTTTATATTTCTGTGGTATCCGTTGCAGTGTCTTCTTTTTTATTTGATTTTATTTATTTAAGTCTTCTCTCTTTTTTCTTATTCCAGCTAAAGGTTTGTTGATTTCGTTTACCTTTTCTAAAAATCAGCTCTTTGTTGCATTGATCTTTTGCATTTTTAAGTCTTTATTTTGTTTATTTCTGCTCTTGTTTTTATTATTTCTTTCCTTCTACTTATTTTGGGTTTAGGTTCTCTGTACTATATTCCAAATAATTTCTTTGCATGTGTATTCCAGTTCAATAATTCTCTCTGTATTTAATTGTATATAATGTATCTCTTATTTAACTGTATTTAATGTTTTAACTTGTTTAATTTCTAATTTTAACTATTATCTCTTTTATTGTTATAAGTTCCATTTGGTACTTTAAAAAATCTGTCTGTCAATTCCAATGCACTATTGTTTTTAAATTATACTTTAAATTTCCCAAATTTCTTAAACATATTAAACACATCTACTTTATATTTTATGTACAATAATTCTTCTATCTGGAGTTTTTGTGGCCTGATTCTTCAGTCTGTTGTTCTTCTGAACTCTTAACCTTCTTTACGGTGACTTACTTCTTCATTGATGATCTTTTACCGTATGTTCATGTTGCTTGGAATTTTTTTCTGTGGAATTTTTCTGAGGCTGAATTTGAACGGCATTCTTCTAGGAATATTTGTGGCATTTGTGTTTGCTTTTGACAGGGATCTAGGGGCATTACCAACAGGAAATACTTTCAACTAGATTTTCAGTTGAAGTTTTTTTGGGTCATACAGGTAGTATAAATTCCGGTCTCGAATGTGAGTAAATACAGAGTAGAGGTTAGAAAATTTTCTTTTTTTCTCTTCTCTCCAAAGTCAAGACTGAGACGGCCAGGGTTCCTTCTGAAGACAGAGCACTTCCTGGTTTATCCATTGATGGTATTACCCTGAAGAATATCAACTCTGCACTTGAGTCTCTAATTCAACCTTCCAGCCTGCTCTAGCCCTATGCATTATCCCTGTCTCCCACAGCCTTGTAGCTCATTGAAACCCAGCTCTAGTCATTAGGGATTATCAGATAACCTGACAGCAAACACTATTTCAAGCTCTCACTCTTGTAGAATCTTGCTTTATTGTTTCTTGTCTCTTATATTTTCCCTTTCACTTTACTTTCATTTCAGCCATGATCTATTAGATATTTTATTCATCACCCTTAAATGTTCTTCACTGGGAGAAGTTTTCTGCACATCAACTATGCTATGAGTAATATAAAAAGCAAGTGAAATGTAGAACACAAAGTGGGGTTTTTGATACATCTATATCTACAAATAGATATATCATTACCCTGTTTCTAAATTACTATGTTAGTGACTATTAGCAGCAATAACTCCCTATATTATCCACTCTCCAAAAGCAGTTATGGATTATGGTATTCACGTAAAATCAGCCTGGTTAACATATGGCTTCTGATTCACACAAGTTTGTGATGGGTATGGTGCTCTGAAGCCAGAGAATGGTGCATACATATTTAATGGCCCAGTATGGAAGTACTTTGGAATGATGGTCTAAATGCTGAAAATACTTAAATATTTGAAATAATTTTTACTTAATTTGAACTCAGTGAACTTAATTGAACATATAGCATTAGGCATAATACTGAATAGTTGTCTTAGTAGAGTAGAATGTATGTAACTTCTGACATTAGAGGCATCAGTTCAAATCCTAACAAACTTATTGAGAATACATAATGAAAACGTGTTTATGTGATATATTTTAGAAGTGTAAAGTATTTTCCATATGTTACTTTTCCAACACTGTAGTGCCAGGGACACAGAAAGCACTCAATAATCTTTTGTTGAAACAATGAACTAAGGGTTGTTATCATCCCAGGTACCTTTAGATTTTTATTTTATTTTTATTTTGTTGAGACAGAGTCTCTTGCTCTGTTGCCCAGGCTAGAGTGCAGTGGCATGATTTTAGCTCACTGCAATGTTCACCTCCCAGGTTCAAGCAATTCTCGGGCCTCAGCCTCCCGAGTAGCTGGGACTACAGGTGTGCACCAGCACAGTAGGCTAATTTTTGTATTTCCAGTAGAGATGGAGTTTCACCATGTTGGCCAGGCTGGTGTCAAACTCCTGGTCTCAAGTGATCTGCCTGCCTTGGGCCCCTAAATTGCTGGAATTACAGGCATGAGCCATAGCCCAGCTGCCTTCAGACTTTTCTAAAGAAAGAAAACCTCATGTTAATAAAAATGCTTTAATCATTACTTTTATCATTAATGATCCTGATATAGTTAATATCTTAAGTACTATGAAATATGGTAATTAAAATGGCTATATATTTAAACTTGAAAACAGTTTTAGCATAGCATTATTTGCTATGAAATACTTACTGCAGTTGCCTGTAGATTATTGGGGTAGACACTAAGGAGCTCCTCAGGAGGGTTTAAAGGTTTGAGATAACGTGTGATAAAAACAGTTTTTCCATTTATATCAATTACTGTTGTAAGGCACTGACGATTTGGGAACTTGAAGGCACATTCAGCTTGAAACTTCTCACTTGCTTGAAGTAATTTCTCATCTTCCTGAGACTCAAACTTCAAAAAGAAACACTTCATAGAGTTTATATATGATTACAAGAGAGAAAGTGCATGTTCAGATTCCACAGTCAACACACGCATTAAATGTATGGTTTGGTAATTATGACCTACTCCTTACAAAGCATGTCCTGCTGTCCCTGCAGCTTTATTTATATTAAATTTGTAGTTTGAAAATTAGACCGACTCATTTAATACTTAAAATATATTTGAAAGGATTGAAAGAAAGTAGTTAACAGGCAAACAGCCGTATGGAAACTACTACATTAATGAAATAATCTAAGAAAATTAAACTGATATATGAATTCTGATTGATAAGGCTATAATTAGGTAATAGAGTTTTGTGTGTATCTTGATGTTGGTTTTAAGTGTGCCGGCTGTGGAGGCCTCAGAAAATCTAACATCTCAAATGCAAATCTTAAGCAACTCATGTTAAATGGACAGCAAATTTATGAATCTATATCAATGTGCTAAAACGTTTCAAGTCTATAAGTACTGTTATAAATAATGGTAATGCATCTCAAAGGAAAAAAGAGGCGGAACTAGAAACATCAAATTTATAAGAATTATTTTAAATAATTCCCAGCAGTTTTTTTTTTTTTCTGAGGCAGGGTCTTATTCTGTCGCCTAGGCTGCAGTACAGTGGCACAATTACAGTTTACTGTACCCTCAAACTCCTGGGCTCAAGCGATTCTCTCACTTTGACCTCCTAAAGCAGTGGGAATACAGGCATGAGCCACTGCATCCAGCCACTAATTCCCAGACTTTTAAAAAGTAACTCAAAGCAGATGAAACAGAACAAATGTAAATTTCCTTTACACACATATTGTCATTCTTCCCCCTAAAGCTGCTGCTAACAAAAATAATATGAAAAAGAGTGAGTGTTAAAATATTTTTAAAAGATTTTTGGTAAAAATATTTGCATAGTTAGTTACATTTTAAATAATTTCAGAACCAAAAATTTTATTTTAAAAATTAATTTTGGGGTCTAGGCACAGTGTCTCATACCTGTAATCCCAGCATTTGAGAGGCCAAGACAGGAGGATCACCTGAGCCCAGGAGTTTGAGACGAGCCTGGGCAACATAGTGGGGCCCTGTCTCTATCAAAAAAAAAAAAAAAAAAAAAATTAGCCATGTGTAGTGATTCCTGCCTGTAGTCCCAGCTACTTGGGAGGCTAAGGTAGGGGGATCGCTTGAGCCTAGGAAGTAGAGATTGCAGTGAGTGGAGATTGAGCCACTGCACTCCAACCTAGGCAACAGAGTGAGACTCTGTTAAAAAAGAATAGTAATTTTAAAATGGAATTTAGAGGCAGTGCTTGAAGATGTTTGGTTTTCTTTTTAACATTGCAGGCTGCTGACATGTGACGTATTTACTCCGTCTTTCCCACAAAATAAGATTCCTGACTTCAGGGATTTTGTTTTTTTGTCTCTAGTATGGAGAATGCTACTTGGCACATAGTAAGTGTTTAACAAATGAATGAATGAATGAGTTAATGGAAAACATTTTATTACTTTTTATGACTTCAAATAGAATCTAGATTATCCCAGTTGTTCTTGACTGCCCCTTATATTGGGGCTAGCTGTGGCTTCTATTTCAAATTTGATTACTATACCCTAAGAAGTTGGGGTAGTGGTTATAGGAGTTATTTAGGATGGAGACATCTCCAGAAGCCTCCTATATATTCTCATAGGTTGTCCGCCAACATCTAAATCTTAATATCATCAGAGTCATAACTGCCTACTGCTCAGCATAGTGCCAAGACATAGTAGCTACCTAATAGAAGTTATGAGATATATATAAATAAAACTAAGTGAAAGAGGTAAGCTCATAAGGCTTTGGTGTAGGTGTATCACTTTTTCCTAATGTAGAATGGTCAAGAAGTAATTGTAACTGTGGAAAAATGGAGAATTATAAAACAAGAATGATGTACAGAAAAAAAACCACAGTTGAATTTATTCCTTTTCCTCTAAGCTCTTTCATTTATTCATCCAGTTTTTGAAAAATGTTTGTTGAGAGTCTGAAAACTTCCAGACACTATGTATAAATGAGTATGAAAGATTCCTCTGAATGAACTTTTAGTCTACAGGGGAACACTAATAAGCTATCAAGGCCTTAAGACCTACAGTGCTGTGGGAGCATTTAAGAGAGGCAGCTATAGGCACTGTGCAAAAGAACAACAACAATCTTGAATCATTACTGATTATTGGCCTTCCAAGTTAAAAAAGGAAAAGTATGTCTAATGTTTTTTCTACCACTTGGATTGGAATGTTCTGTTGAGTCTCTTGGCTCTATAAGGAGTGTTTCCTTAGGCCTGTGTTTGAATATTTCTTATGAACACCCAGCATACACATGGTAAGCGTTTAGTCTTTAATACTTGTCTAGGCCACCAAGATCCCATTTTATGGTTTGAAACAGAATTTAAGAATTAGTAGTTTGCTATGTTAGTGATCTAAGAAATGCCAAGAAAAAGCTAAATACAGAAAGAATTTGGGTCATTTATGATGAAACAAATTAAGGTGGCACTGACAAATTCAGTTTGATTCAACAGAAAATTTTTGAAAGATTCTTGACTGGTTCAATTCTTTGGCCTCTAATGCAAACATTTATAGAAAACTGAATGGGTTTACATTGCCTTTGAAAAGCTACACTGGCCACACGCAGTGGCTCACACCTGTAATCTCCGCACTTTGCGAGGTTGATACTGGAGGATCACTTGAGCCCAGGAATTTGAGAGCAGCCTGGGCACATAATGAGACTTAACTCTACAAAAACATAAACAAAATTACCTGGGCCTGGTGGTGCACACCTGTGGTGCCAGGTACTTGGGAGGCTGAGGTAGGAGCATTGCTTGGGCTGGAGAGGTTGAGGCTGCAGGAAGCCATGATTGCACCACTGCACTCTAAACGAGCAACAGAGCAAGACCCTCTCTCAAAAAAAAAAAAAAAAAAAAAAAGAAAGAAAAGCTGTACTGAGACAGCCCCAACCCACCAGAAATAACTTTTGGAGATACACTGTCTCTGCGAGAAGCAGCTCATGAGTTTTATACATTTGCAAAGAGTGGAGCTAGCTCCCAGTATGCAGGTAACATTCAGACTGATGACTTCTTAGATTCAAAGCTAACTAAGAATCTTTCTGGTAAAATGAAATGGGCCAAAAGACAAGGCAGGACATTCTTCACGGAACTGGAGACACTTGGAATTCAATGCCCAGGCATCACACACACATTAAGATACAACACCTGCCCCCCAGGTAGCAGTGGACAGAAGCAGCTAATTAAAGCCTAATAACTACTGACCAATAAATAGTAAAACAAAATACTTAGTACCTTCTTAAGCATGTTACTCATCTATCAGAAGCAAGAAAGAAAAAAAGAAAAAGAAACAAGAGGCAGGCTTTATTAAGAGAAATAATCTTTTAAAAAACTTATTTTTAACCAAGATCAGGTAAAGTAAGTGATATTAAATAAGAATTTCAGGAGTTTCTATATATCTTTAAAAATTTTCCATTAATAGATATGTTTAAAACATCTTGTTGAATTGTTCCATATGGCATGGTGGTAGAGGAAAGACTCTAATCTGCTAATCCTGGAAGTACTGCTGTAAGTGGAAAAACAATTCCAGGTTGTGGACGCTATAATTTTAGGATGAGTACTTCTCTTTCCTGAATTGTCTGCAGGTGAATCACTGAGTGGCGTTTTATGCCACTGCATGTTTTGGACATAAGGGTCCTGTCAATCAACATAACCTTCCTTATCAAACAGCCACAAAGAATCTGCCTTCCATGTTTTTTTTTAAGCCCTCATTTTAGAGGCCTAAGGTAAATGCGTCCTACAGCCACAATGGGTTAGTGACCTGCCACCAAAGGCAGAATCTGACTGCCATTTAACAGCTTTAGGGAAGGAAGACTGTAGGACTTGAGGACTGTGGTTCAGACCCCTGGAGGCCTCTTCAAAGTCCTGCAGTAAGAAGTCAGGGCTTGTGAGGGATGCCTAGCATGGAGGAGTCTTGGGCTTTCATCCTTTCTGCCAGGATAGACTGCTTTCACATGTTTTAGAAACTCACCCCCAAGGTGGGGTTCTAGCTGACTGCCTGTTCTTCAGTTACATATACATAGAAATAGCAAAATCTTTTGTGTGGAAGTATTTTTGTGTGTAAACATGTTTGTTGGCGTTCTTTTGAATTTATATATGAAGACAAACATTCAGAATATATTTTTCCCTTTTAAAAAATATTTTGAAATGGATATATTCTAATGTTTTCTAGAGAAGCACCATTTTACTGACAAAATTAATATAGGATTAATTTAAATTTCAGTACATTTGTTTTTTCAGTACTTTTTTTTTGGTAAAAGCTTTGCAGATGGGAGATAGTAATAGTATTTTTTTCTCTGCAAACCAAATTGTAATACTGGGGAAAAAAAAGGAGTGTGTTTGTTTATTTTATCTCTATCTAAGTATTAATTATAATAGAGTAGAGTAGGCACAAAAATTTGTACAATATAGGTTAGTAGCTAACAACAACTTATGATTATACATGAATGTAAGCTTGGAGGACTTTTTATCTGCATTTCTAGCCTACTGTACCCCAATGCCTAAGAAATGTCTGTCACATAGACGTGCTGAATATATACAGTTTAGAGTCAAACAGACATGGGTTACCTCTGCCTATGTCACCTTGCATAAATTGAACCTTATTTTTCTCTTCTGTATATTGGAGACCCCGTGTCTAAGACACCTGTGAGTATTAAGGTGAGAACATGTATCCAAGGTTTGACATAGTACTGAGGACAGACTAAGGACTCAGTACATCTTGGTGGTGGCTGTTGATTTTATTACTGTATTTGTTTACATATGAATAAGAGGTCACCATCAATATATTCGCCCAAATCCAATGAGGGCAGTATGTATAAATGTTGTATACAAGTATGTTACAGGAAGACATTTATTTCTTAACCCATTTATGCCTGAGGTTGCAATTTTTTGAATTTTTGCAATCAGACCTAGGTGATAACCTTGAGCAGTAGGATATAAATAACTCCCACTTGCTTAGTGTTCCAATAATGAAACACTTGGCATAAATGGGTTTAATGAAGGTTCAGGAACAGTTACTAACCAGTGAAAGTTCTGGAAACTCTTTTCTGGAGATATTTAAAAGCATACTTGTACATGCATTTATTTGTTTCATGGAATGAATTGAGGTGACTCATAAAGGTCATCTAGTCTTGTGATCCTATGAATTGATTCAATGCATAGCATAGCCAAAGATGTTAGATTAGACATAGAAATATATTCTTGCCAATACTTGTGAAATAAAAGAGCAATCTGATTTTCTAGTTTGTGATATTTCATTTTCTTCACATTGAGAAAATTCTTCTAGAAGCAGAGCATGTTTATATTTGTCTTACTTTGACTAAAAGTCTTAAGTTTTAGGCAAAGCAAGACAAATATAAACATGTTGCCGATTGACCCAATTATTGGTTCAGTGAATGTACAAACCCGCACATCTGTTTTTCACCACCATTCTATCTAAATTGAAAGAATAATAAGTGGAGATTGAAGTAAGAAACCTCTGTTTGTGTAGCACAGTCAACATCATAAAAGCGTAGCCTAGCAAGCATTTCTTGTGTTTTAATCAACATAGACATGGGTTTCCAAACTATAAGCCATTACCTTTTCTTGAACAGACTCTCCAGGAACCAGCTGGGGCTCAATTGTAATAAACAGAGTGATGTAAGAACCTTCACTTAAGTTTCGGACAGAATCAAAACCCCGCTCAAGAATCATATTTCGCTCCTTACTGTAGCCCAGAAGAACTGGGGGAATATCTATTTTAAATGTTCCATCAATCTGTGAAGAAAATATAATTTGGTAAACATCCTGATGCTTTTTCCAACAGAAGTTCAGAGGCAAGTGTCAACTCCTCATTGTCTAATAAATTGAATCAAAACTGCTCAGACTGGCATTCAAAGCCAACACCATCTTTCTAACCTCATCTCCCTAAGCACTTTCCAGAAAGGGCTCTATACCTACTTGCCTTCTTTTCATTGTTTAGCAGAGGGTGTACTGGATATGCAGTTTGCCTGGGTTCAAATCTTGGTTTAAAGGCAGTTTTGGGTTCAAAACTTGGTTTACAAATGAGGAATCTGAGGTTTCCTCATTAGTAAAAAGGAGTCAATGATAGTATCTACTTTGTGGGGTTATTATTAGTAAATGAATAAATGTAAAAAAAAAAAAACAGTAAGAAAATTGTCCAGCATATGGTAAGCAGTCAATAAATATTGGCTAGTGGCCATTCCCCATTTCTAGAATACCCAGCTTTTCTGCTCTGTTTTTCAAAATTTTAATTATTTTTCAAAGCTTAGATCAAATGTTATCTAAGGGTAAAGGAAAAGAAGAGTATACAAACTATAAAAACTAGGGCAGGCCAGGCACAGTGGCTTGCAGCTGTTATCCCAGCACTTTGGGAGGCAGAGGCAGGTGAATCACTTGAAGTCAGGAGTTTGAGACAAGCCTGGCCAACATGGACTTCTAATTTCAGAGTCTCATTCTGTTGTTCAGGCTGGAGTGCAGTGGCACCATCTCGGCTCACTGCATCCTCTGCCTCCCAGGTTCAAGCAATTCTCCTGCCTCAGCCTCCTGAATAGCTGGGATTACAGGTACATGCCACCATGCCTGGCTAATTTTTTGTATCTTTAGTGGAGACGGGGTTTCACCATGTTGTCCAGGTTGGTCTTGAACTCCTGACCTTGTGATTTGCCGGCCTTGACCTCCCAAAGTCCTGGGATTTTAGGCGTGACCCACCGTGCCCAGCCTACAAAGAAAGTTTTCACAGGAAAAATGGATAGAGAAATTCTCTGATTTCATGGACTTCTGACTTTAGATGCTTACCCTTGCTTGGAAATATATTGTGCTAAATGGAATTTTCACACATCCCAGCCAGTGTCTCTCAATACGGGTGTGGATTCCACTTCCTCTTTCACGGTCATCCTAAAGGAAGAGTGGGAAGTAATAATTGTTTAAGAACTCCAGGAACTCATTTAATTACTCTGGCAGCAGGAAAGCACCAAGAGTTTAGCTGAAAGCATGTGAACTTACATTAGACAGACCTAATCAAATACTGGTTCAGCTACTTAATGGCTTTGTGGCCCTAGGAAAGTCATTTGAACTCTCTGAACCTTAGTTTTTCTCATCAATAAACTAGAGATTTAACAATCTGTAGGATTACTTAGAATTAAATCAGAAAATGTGTATAAAGCACCTACTTGGCACAGAGCAGACACTCGACTGAAATTAAAAAAGCTAGCTTCCTCTCCCTTTCCCCCTTCCCCATTTAGACATGTCAAATTTCAAATATTTCAAACACATGAAAGATGGAAAAAATGTTATCAGAGGCATCTGAACCAAAGCGACTCCATCTTGAGTGAGGGCTAGGAAACATGAGGCTGGGACTTGTTGGGCTGCATTCCCAGAAAGTTAGGTATTCCAAGCCGATAGATGTTTACAGTTAAGGGAACAGATTGATAACATTTACGAAACACCCAGACTTAGGAGTGTTCTGCTATCCTGGTATCTTGAGAACAGAAGCATTCCTAATTTTGCTTTAAAGATAATAATATAGATTCTTGCAGAATACAGTAAGTTAGAAAATTAATCCTTTATCACAAACCCTTGTAGCAGAGCACACCTTCCCAGGATCTTTTTATCCTGAATCTAAACAAGCTTTGTACCTAGGGTGAACATATTCTTCCTTTTACTTTTGGGAACACCGAATTCTGTCTATGGAGTAGCTATTCTTTCACCACTTTACTTTCCTAGTAAATTTGCTTTTACTTTGCACCGTGGAACTTGCTCTGAATTCTTTCTTGTGAGAGATCCAAGAACCTTCTCTTGGGGTCTGGATTGGGACCCCTTTCTGGTAACAATGTGATTAGAATTTACATTGTGGGTAGAGGATATGAAAATGAATACAGGTGGCTTTAAAACTGAGAACTTACCTCTAAGACATCATGCAGTACTTCATCAAAAATATTAATGAACACAACGTCTTTCACGGACTGCAGACTGGCTGTGCTATAATCTCCATTAGGAGCCCTGCAAGATAACACATAACCAGGGACTGTGAAAATAGGCACCATAAGGCCAGGTATGGTGGCTCACGCCTGCAATCCCAGCACTTTGGGAGGCAGAAGCGGGTGTATCACCTGGTCAGGAGTTTGAGACCAGCCTGACCAACATGGAGAAACCCTGTCTCTATATATTAAAAAAAAAATTTTTTTTAAAGGAAAAGAAAATAGGCAACATAGAAATTATGAGCATTCAAATGTTAGCATTTGAAAAATACCCAAATGTGAGCATAGATGTTAGAATTAAAGGCAGTGCTTTCATTTCTAGGATTTCTCTTATACATGGATACTATAATATAATATCTATATTCAGATGGAAAGAACATTAGAGTAGAGACTCCATGCAGAGACAAACCCTCTGCTTTCTTGTCCTGGTAAGTCTCATATTCCTCTACACCCTGTGGTAAGCTTTTCAGGGGCCAGCTTGCCAGAACTGAGCTGGCCCTGTGGACAGGCTACAAGGTTTCCAGCTGACACTGCAGCTAGCATATGAACTTTCTAAGCAACTGGGCCCCAAAAAGTGCTTCTCCACCAAGATCACTCTTCAGTGATAAACCTCCTACTGGTTGAATGGTCCCTGCCTCCCACTCACCTTTTCTGTATATAAGTAAAGCAGTACAGGGGTGAGGTCTCTGTAACATAACCCAGTCTGAGTCTAGCTAAGCCTGGAACAAGCATACCTCTGCATAGCAGAGCTGGTGACTGGGGTACTGAGTGTATTTTGTTGAACATTTGTCTTTATGTTTTCTTGTTTCTGTTTGTTCTGTGCATAATAGTGGTAGCTATCTCCCTCTTCTGACTTAACTAGTTTTTTTTTTTTTTTTTTGGAGACAGAGTCTTGCTGTCAGTCAGGCTGGAGTACAGTGGCATGACCTTGGTTCACTGCAACTTCCGCCTCCTGGGTTCGAGTGATTCTTCTGCCTCAGCCTCCGAGTAGCTGGGATTACAGGCATGTGCCCTGGCCTTAAGTGATCTGCCCACCTTGGCCCCTCGAGGTGCTTGGACTACAGACATGAGCCACCATGCTTGGCCTGACTTAAGTAGTTCTAATCCTTGCTCTGTCTCAAATTTACTGTGTGGCTCTAAGTAAGTCACTTTCCCTCTTTGGGTTTTAGTTTCTTCTCCATAAAGGTAGAGGTTGGGCTAGATAATCTCCAACGTCACTTCAAGCACTGAAATAATAACTATTTAAATATCTAAAATCCTTTTACCAAACTTCTGAAATGCCTATGTATTTCTGGTGAGGAAGGAAGTATGATTTATGGGAACTAAGGAGTTTCAGATTTACTTGAGGGGACATGAGGAAGAAAGGAAAGCAGTGTAGGTCATTGGGGTCAAGGGAATGAGAAACTTTGGGCTTTAAGAAGCCAGAGCCTGGAGGAGCATAGCGTGTCCCAACAATGAGCCTGGGTTTTTTAAAGGTTGGGCATTTTTCCATTTTTATTCTTGAACGGAGTCAGCTGTGGTACAAGAGGAAAAGCATGGGACTTGGTATCAGGACACCTGGATCTTGTTGCCACTCACTAGCTACAAAACCCTTCACCTTAGCTGTTTCTCAAGAGCCTGCTTTCTCCACATTTCTTCCAAAGGTGTTTAAGAGGAAATATGCTTACCTAAATGGAAGTTCAAGTTCTTCATTCCAGCTGGGGTTTGGTCCTTCAGCTGTAGTTGTATGGCAAACTGTTCGTTGAAAAGAGACTTCTACAAAAGGACGTACTAAAACCTTAAAATCAAGAGCAAATCCTGAGTTCCGGTGATTAAATTGTTTTATTCTTAGCAAAGGTAGAGTATATTTACTAAATAGTATGTTTCCAAAGAAAATGAAGCAGAAAGCAGACTGTCCATGCAGTTTATAGACAATTCTTAAAAACGTAAGAGCAAGATGGAAAGCTGACATCCAGCATCTCTCACCTGGCCGAGGGGGTAGTCAGCATTGTGGTTTGGGCTGTGTGTGCTTGGGGAAGCAGCATGCTTTTCACTGAACATCCTCGAAGACCTTGCGGGCTGCTGAAATTTGCTAGGAGGGAAAATGTATGAAGGAAATTAATGATGGAGCAAGTCTAATTATATATTGAGAAGATGGTTATTTCTTTATTGAGACAGGATCTTGCTCTGTCACCCAAGCTTGAGTGAAGTGGCATGATCTCAGTTGGTGCAATCTCAGCTTACTCTGTCTCCCAAGCTCCCAAGGTGATCCTCCCACCTCAGCCTCCTGAGTAGCTGGAACTACAGGTATGAGTCACCATGCCTGGCTAATTTTTGTATTTTTAGTAAAGATTTGGTTTTGCCATGTTGCCAAGGTTGGTCTCAATCTCCTGAACTCAAGCAGTCTGCCCACCTTGGCCTTCCAAAGTGCTGGAATCACAGGCGTGAGTTACCATGCCTAGCATTATTTTTAGTTTAAAAATTTTTTTTAGATAGAGTCTTGCTCTGTTGCCCAGGCTGGAGTGCAGTGGCATGATTATGGCTCACTGCAGCCTCAACCTCCCAGGCTCAAGCTATCCTCTCACGTCAGTCTCCTGAGTAGCTGGGACTACAAACACACTCCACCACACCCAGCTAATTTATAAATTTTTTTTGTAGGGATCAGAGGTCTCACTATGTTGTTGCTCAGGCTAGTCTTGGACTCCGAGGTTCAAGTGATCCTCCTGCCTTGGCTTCCTAAACTGCTGATATTCCAGGTGTGAGCTACCATGCCCAGCTTGAGAAGATGCTTTTTCCAAAGATGTATGGCCCTGGTGGCTGTGGTGACAAACATTCTCTCTTAAGCTTGTTGACATTGCAGAAGGCTTTAGTATGCTCTTGTCCCCACCGAGTCACCTAGAGT